AATTGTCTATCAAGTATCTCACCTTGTCCCAGCCATACTTGTTCCAGTAGAGAGATAGATTCTTGGCGATGTGAAACGGCCCATTCTCATAAAAGAGAGCGACCTCGCTGCCACAGCCCGGGCCGCCGGTCATCCAAAGGACAAGAGGGTCCTTCGATCGATTCCCTCGCGACTCAAAGAAGAAGTAGAACATCCTGCCATGCGTATTCTCTCATCGCGCGCAAGAGATGGAAAGAAATCGCTTTACCTCGCGGAGTGCGTGCCCTCCAGCTTGAAATATCCCGCATGGTGTCCAAGATCCTCCACCGTGACCTCGGACTCGGAATCGCCCTTGATTCCCAGCTCAACCCGGCGCTCCACAAGACGTTCCACCGACATTTCCAGCTCCGGAGAAGAATCCTCCGCGGAATCGTCGACATGCGGCAGCAAATTCATAGCCCGGATCATCTGCTCGGCCTGGTGCCGAGGCCGCGCCGCCGAAATCTCGCGGAGAAACGCATCCTCGAGCGATGAAATCCCGGCGATCGCCGACAAGACAAGCAAGAACGTCGCAAGCGCCATAGCTCCCACTCAAAGTGATTAGGGCGAAATGGAATACATTTCTTTCAAATTAAATGGGACCTAGTTAAATAGAGAACTTTTGTTCTTCGCTCTTCAGGAACTTGGAAAAGTTTCGCGAAAGAGCTTATCGCCGATGGTGGTGTCTTCCACTACTGCTGGTATGCCTGTATCGATCCTCCTCGTAGTGATCTGGTCGCCACCGAGCGAGATCGTCGCTAGCTTCCGAGTGGTGATGCCTGCTACTGCGAGAGCTCTCCAATTGACGAGAGTGGTGATCCTCCGAGTGATGATCTCGCGAAGGTAGATAGCTCCTGCTGCTTCGATCTTCCCGGGGCTTCTTGTCATCGTAAGAGCTCCGGGTCTTCTCCTCCTCGATCTCCCGCGATCTGTTCCTTCGTTTCCTGCTCTCCTCCTTTCTCTTCTCGTCCGTGCTCGTGATCTCGGCCTCCCTCTCGCTGTGGTGCTTGCTCCTCGAGCTCTCGGACGTCTTCTCGGACGGTGGCTTAGACGTCTTCTCGTGCTGCTTGTTCCTGGCGCTCTCGGATGATCTGCTAGTGTGTGGCTGGTCGCTTCTCTTGCTGTCTTTCTCCTGGGATCGTCGACTTGACGCTGGTGGTGGTGCCTCTTCCGGTTTAGAGCTGAATTTGCTGCGCCGCTCTTCCTTGTGATGCTGCTCGTCTGCATAGCGCCGAGCACTTTCGTAGTCCCGCTCCTTGTTGTACTGCTTGGCCGAGGTTCTCTCCCTGTCAGACCTCTCTCTGTCAGAGTAGTTCCTCGTGGAATCGTAGTCGGCCTCGGGCTTTTTGTGATGCCTCTCCACACTGCCATTCCTGCGGTCTCGGCTTTCGGAAGGACGGCCGTGTCTCGAGTCTTTTGGAGGTGACCTTCCACGTCTCGAGTCTTGTGGAGGTGATCTTCCACGAGTGCTGCTTTGGGACCAGTCACCTCTGCGAGCACCACAACCGTGTTTCTAAAACCCGACACAGTAAATACATATACATACCTGTGGTCATTTCTAGATCGTCGGTTGTGTTCTTCTTCCTTGAGTTTCATAAAGTCCTCCCTGCTCAGCGGCATGTCGCCACCCATCATACCGGGATGATCACCGAACCTGTTCAACAAATTAGACGTTAGATTCTTTCTATTCCAGAAAGAAAGGAACGTACCAATGCATGGGAGGAATACTTGCGTACGGAGGTGGCACGCAAGGAGGGATCTGATACGCTCCAGGTGGTGGCACAGGTCCAAGGCCAGGGCCATACATTCCATCGGCGTAGCCTGGGAGAAACGGTGGTACAGGCGGTCCAGGCCAAAACATATCCGGACCGTATGGCCCCATTGGAAAAGCTCCACCTGATAGACCACAAGCGTTAAGACAAGATCGTCACGGAAAGAGATAGTCAGACTCGCCTGGCGGAAACATGCCAGGATGTGGTGGATATGCTCCAGCATTTTCAACGCAGTCTTTCGCAAGATGGCCAGCCTCGCCACACTGATAACAAAAACGCTCGCCCTGCCATATATGAAACGTAAGTACGAAACGCAAAGATCAGCAAGTGGCTAAACTACCTTGCCACTAGCGTCCGCACCGCCTCCATCCACTATAGCAAAATACTAAAGTGAGCAAACATTCCAACAGCAAAAGCAAAATGAAGAGAAGCACTTACCCGAATTCATACCACGAGCCCGCTTCTTCTTTTTCTTGCCTGAGATAGCCAAACAACAAAAATGTTAGTCGCAACCATTCAATAGTTCTTGTTCACCTGAGTAGGCAGCCAAACCAGGAACCGACTTAGAACATAAACCTGTTGCGGTCGACTTCGAAAAACTCGAGAAGTCACGCGACAGCTGAAATCTACCTATCTAAAATGTAGGAAACAGAAGCAAAGGGAACGAGAACGAGAACCGGAGGCTCCAAGAAGTGCAGCTGAGGATTAACTTCCCAAAGTTTGAAAGACACACCTTTGCTAACCTCAGACTCCAGAGCTATCTCATCTGCGCCCTTATGAACAAAGGGCTCAGAAGTTTTTCCCCCATCTCCAAGGTCTCTAAGTGCCTCGTTGCCTTCCGGGTTGAGACTTCCAGAGGCATCCTTCGGTATTACAGGATGTGAATTTGCATCCGTCTTGTTAGCCACACTACTCTCTGCATTGACTACACCTGACGAGGCTTCCCTTGCTTTACCGGCCTCAACGTTATCATCAGCAGAGTGCTTCGACTCTGACAGAGAAATGACGTGTTGCGCGGTAGAGTCCCCATCTGCATAGCATGATCCAACAATAAGAAGCCTTTTCTAAAGTATAAACGCTTACCAGGTATTGCTACACCTTGATCCCCGGTAGTCGAAAGCGTTTGCGACTGCATAAATTTGTCAATAGCCTGCCGTAAAGCAATGTTTGGCAGCAAGTCATCATTTTTGAATCTCGCTGAACCACACTGAGGGCATTGTCCCTTCAACATGAGGTTCTGTCTTATACCTGAAGAAACGCACAGAAACAGTTGGCACCATCAAACAAGGAAATTTTGGATGGGGCTTACACTTATCGCAAAAACTGTATTGGCAACAAGGAATCATCACAGCGTCTTTAAATGTCGAGCGACAAAGTGGACATCGAAGTTCCGAAGGTGCCTCTGTCGTTGGCTTTACGGAGAGTAAAGCATTCGCCTCTTTCGCAAACAAATTTCTGTAGCAAAGTGTCAGCACGAGAAATAGTCATTCCAAATAAATCACGTACTCGTCCGGTTGCATCATCGCCACTGAACCGTCGGGTAGCACATATGAACCTTCTTGGTCGAGTCTCAAGCGTGTCCTTGGAATACCAACTGGGAGCCTCACTTTCTTGATGTCGTAATTCGGATCACCATTTGTTGGACACTGTTGTATAAAATGGCCTGAATACAATCAACTAAGAAACTCCGAATGAGCGTAACGAACAACTTCTTACCTGGCTGACCACAACGATGACAAACATATCCAGCAGGAGGACCTCCTGAGCCACGACCTGAAACAACCAATGTGAGTAAACTAAGCGCAAATTAGCAAGCACAGGCTACCTCTGCCTTTTCCTCCTCCACGGGGAACAAAAGACGGATTTTCAAACCTGAACAAAATCACTACATTAAATAAAACAGAAAAGCGACCGAGAAAAGATCACCTTTGCCACTCCAAAGTTGACTTCGAAACCATTTCCACTATTTTGGCATCCTCCTCCACCTTGGCAGCAGGCACAGGTGCTGGAGTTGCAAAGAGATCCATCCCAAAGTCGTCCGGTTCGACATCGGATTTCTGACAGAAAAAAAAGGATCATCCAGATTACTGAAAAGGACTCAGAAGCCAGTCTGAAACTTACAACAGGTGGACGAGCTACAGGAGCAGTAGCACTTGAATTGGGAGGCACTTTGGGCCTGCATCGAATAATTAGCGGCGCACTAGAAGAATGAAGAAAAGAAAAAGTCCACTCACGGGTCAAAAGCTTGTAAAACTTGTTTAGATCTAACAGCGGGAACACGCTTGATGATGACACTCGTGTTCCTTGGAACAAGAGAATTCTCATCTCGATATTCTACAAAAGACACATTCTCGTCAGCACGAGAGAAGCCCAAAGAATGGATTGAATCGCAAACCTTCTCCAGTCTGGGAGTCTGTAATGACAAGGTCGAAATCTATGGTTCTGTTGCTCGCGAGATTCTTGTGCTCCACAATCCGCTGCTTGAGATTTCGCACCGAGATGTGCAGGTCATCGAGGCTGATCGAATCGTATGCCACAGCGCTCCGGAACTTGAAGTGGACGGCCATAGCTGGATTAGCGCGGCGCCCTCGTCCTCGCCTGGCACACGCGCATTGGCATCGAATCGAAATCACGAGCCGGGAAATCCATACCTAGTCGCAGCTCCCACGCTCAATCTCAAACCCTCCCAAAGCCATGCCCTAGTGCCAAAAGCAAAGGATTCGAACCCCAGATCTTTATATGGAAGCGCATTTCCAAGACCTCATCCAGTCGTGCGTCACTCCCTCCCAAGCGCGCCACGTCCATCGTCTCCTCCAGCGCAATGCCAATGCCCTAGAATCCAGATCCTACACTCTCCTCGCCAATCGCGTCCTCCAGAATTACGCCAAGATGGCGAGCCCGATCGACGCGAGGAGGGAGATTTTCGACTCGATCGATCCCAAGAACATCTTCTCCTGGAACATCATGCTCGCGGCATTCGCGCGTGACAATAATCTCCGCGACGCGCGCGCCCTCTTCGACGAGATGCCTCAGCACGACCTCGTGTCGTACAACTCGCTGCTTCACCTGTACGGCAGGAACGGCCAGCTGGATGAAGCGTCCAGATTGTTCCACGCGATCCAACGGCCAGATCTGGTTTCCTGGAACTCCGTACTCCTGGCATTTGCCCAAACAGGGCATCTTGAAAGTTTAAGATTTTTCTTTTACGCTATGCCTGCGTGGAGCCTAGTAACGTTTACAACAATTTTTCTAGCAGTAGCACAACAAGAGTATATAGAAGATGCCGAGAGCATATTTTGCAAGATGCCATGTTGGGATCTTCCATGCTGGAATGGTATGTTGTCAGTATATGCCCGAAGTGGGCATTTGCAAAAGGCTGAAGATTTATTTGAAAGAATGCCGCACGGACATTCCTCGTGGAATATATATCTCGCACTGTATGCTCAGCATGGATCACTCGAACACACAGTATTCGTCTTTACTCATAAGATGCCACACTGGGATTTGGTTTCATGGACATCTATGCTAATAGCTTACGTCCGCTTTGGGGAATTGGAAGAAGCAAGACGAATCTTTGATTCCATGAAAACTAGAGACTTAGTCTCCTTTACAGTTATTCTTACGGCATATGCCGAGAATGGGAATCTTGAAAATGCTAGGAAGCTGTTTGAGAGTATGCCACAAAGAGATCTTATCAGCTACAACGCCATGATCTTCGCAAATGCCCGTTTTGGGAATATTTTTAATGCAAACATTCTATTTCGTGAAATGCCTTGTAAAGATATTGTAAGCTGTACAACCATGGTGGTAGCATATGCCCAAGTTGGGAATCATTCGGCGGCTAAAGCTATTTTCGACAAGATGCCCGTAGCAAGCCTCATCGTGTGGAACGCGATGCTCTTGGCATATGCCCGGAGCGGGAATATCCCCGAGGCTTGCCGCTTCTTCGATGAAATGGATGCAAAAGATTCCGTGTCATGGACGACCTTGCTGTGGGCATTTGCAAAGAGTGGAGATACAACAAATGCCAAAGCTTTGTTTGAGAATATTCCAGGTCCGTGTAAAAATGCGGTCTCCTGGACCATACTGTTGACCATGTATGGCAAGCACGGTCACTTTGAACGGGCCAAGACTGCGTTTGACCAAATGCCCGTGAGAACGTTGACCGCGTGGAACACCATTTTAGCAAGCTATGCCCAGAGAGGGCATCTGATCGAGGCGAAGTCACTCTTTTCTGGAATGCCGGATCGCAATTTGGAGTCTTGGAACTCGATGATCTCTGCGTATGCCCAAACCGGGCATCTAGGCGATGCTAAGAAACTCTTTGACAACTTGTTGATCCGTGACACAGTGTCTTGGACTGCAATGCTTGGCGCGTATGCTCAAGAGGGGCAGCTCCAAACCGGCAGTAAGATCTTCTCGCGGATTCCAGAGCGTGGCGATGTTGTGTGCTGGACTGTCATGCTGACCCTGTGCTCGAGAAGCCTGAGATTCGATTTGAGCTTCTACTTGTTTCATGCGATGGTGGTAGAAGGCGTAGAGCCGGATCCCCTGTGCTTTGTCAAGCTCATGGCTGCCTGTAATCACAAAGGGAGCGTCAAGACTGGCTGGAGCTACTTCACGAGCATGATTGTGGATTACCAGATGGAGCCGAGGAAGGCTCACTACAGCTGCTTGATCGACTTGCTTGCTCGCGCGAGGCATCTGGATGATGCGCGGGAGCTCGTTCTCACCATGCCTTTCCATCCAAACACCTGCGACTGGGTCTGCATTCTTGGAGCGTCCAGGGGTGTCAGTGACGTCGGGAGCGGTCTCAATGCAGCTAGAAGTTTTTTCCAACTAAAAACGAAGAGGTCCGCACCTTATGTGATGCTCGGAAACGTGTTGAGGCAAACTTGATCGCAGCTGTGCTGAAGGAAAAACAGTAAGCACCATGCATCTACAGAACTTCCAAAAACTTACAGAAAGCTCGAAGCTTCTCCTCCACGCATCTGGGTTGTACAAAGCGCTAAACAGGATTGCGATAAAGATGACAAACGTTTCGTACAGTTTAAGGACGAGCGTGTTGAGCGGAAGAATCTGCCCAAAATGAAGATTGACAATGCGACGAATTGACAACCAGGCGAGTGCTCACTCACCACCATTGATAGAAAAACCAAGTTGGCGCTCCTGTTTTCCGTTGAACCTTAACTCTTTGTTCTCTTGCTCCTTGCATAAAAAATTTTCAACGTTTGTAGCCGCCTTAATGCGTAAGCCTGTCCATTAACAGGAACAGTGCGGGCCTATCGCTTAGTGCGCCCCGAATCTCCAGAATAAAATCCCTTCCTACTTTTCCATCCACTGGGTGAAAGAAAAACCCTGAGAGCGAGTGGGCGAGCGCGTTTTAGTGCATTTGGGGTAGAAACTTTGCCAGAAGTCTTACCTTGTTGTGGAAGCTCGAGTCAGATATGGATTTGGAGGAGTGCCAGCGAACGGTGTCAGTGTCACGTATCGCTTTGAAAACCACCCAGAGGCCGAGGGGCTGTCAAGAGATCCGTGTTGTTCTCGCCTTCCATTTCCTCAATCGCTGACAATCTAGTAAGAATTAGTCTCTTTTTTCGTCCAGCAACTTGAAGAGAGTGACTCTTAGAGGAGAAAAAAAAAAAGAGAGACTCACCGGTACTTTGCTTGAGATCGAAGCGCAAGTAAAGGAGGGGCAGCCAAGATGAGCATGGATTCGATCACTGGCTCGCAATTCCTCTCCAATCTGTCACAGTGCTCGTCGCCGCGGCTCGAGTCGGACCAGATGTCCATCAAGTCCGAGGACGAGAACGGCGCCGCCACAAAGGTGAAGCTCATGTGTAGCTATGGCGGCCGGATCATGATGCGCCCACACGACTCCCAGCTCCGCTACATCGGCGGCGACACCCGGATCCTCGTCGTCCCCCGGACGATCTCCTACGCGGATTTCTGTGTCAAGCTCGCAAAGATCTGTGGAGGCCGCAGCGTCCTCCCCAAGTACAAGCTCCCTTACGAGGATTTCGACGCGCTCGTCTCGGTCATCGGCGACGACGATCTGGAGGCGATGCTGGAAGAATACGAGCGCCTGGATGCCAAAGAGGCCCCTTCCAAGCTCCGCCTCTTCCTCTTCCCAAAGATCCCTACTGCCGCCGCCATCGCCGGCCAGATCCCCACGTCGTCGCTGAGGTTTGATTCCAGGAACGAGCAGAGCTTCCTCGACGTGCTCAACAACACGATCCAGCAGACCGAGCAGCCCGACCAGCAGCAAGTAGTATCAGACGTGCCGGATTTCCTCTTCGGCCTCGAAGTGCCTGGATCGATCTCGATGCAAGAGGTGATCGCCGCCGCCGATGGCCCCGGCTCGGCAGTGGCAAAGAAGATCATGGAAGCCGATTCCGCGATGCAATCCGAGCTCACCCCGATCTGTACAAATCCAAGAAAGATCGACAGCAATCCTCCACAGCCTCGGCAGTACGATCCCCCTGCTGCTGCCGACGCCGCCGGTCCAAAACCTAGGCCAGTTTCGCCATTCCTAGCTCCTTCAACCGCGATCTCTTCAGCCGATCCCATCTACACCCCACAGATCCAGCAAGCCAGGGCGCCACCGATCCAGCAGCAGCTACCGATCGGGCAAAGCCCCAATCCCCAAAATATTTCCTCGCAACAGCAAATTTTGCCGCCCAGGGGCCCCAAGAAGGACAAGAACAGCTCGCCCAAGAAGCTCGAACCCAAGACCGGCCCCAGGCTACCGCCAGAGGATTCGAAACTCTCCCATGTCGACAAGCAATCCAACGCTGCCACCGCTATGGACGCTCCCTCGTCCGCGTCATCGCCAGGTGTGGAAGGAATGGAGGCCCTCAAGCTCGTCGAGGCGGTCGCGGCAGCCATAGCCGAGAAGAGCGATGCTGACGAGGACAGCAAGGCCGTTGGCCACGACAGCCCTAAGTCCAGTTCACAGGACAACACGTTACCGATGAAGGGCAGCCTCAATCTCAAGGAGATGAGCCTCAATGTGTTTATGGAGCAGCAAAAGATGGATGCCCAAGCTCAAGAACAGCAGCAGCAGCAGCAGCAGAGGAGGATGCAAATGCAGCAGGAATTGGAGCAGCAAGAGAAGCTGGCCAGGATGAACGAGTCCATGAAACTACAGCAAGCAATTGCTTTCCAGCAGCAGCAGCAGCAGCCAGAGCACAAGATTGCCCCCGCAAGGCAGGAATTTCAGCAACAGATGCTTCAGCAGCAGAACTTCATACACCATCACCAACAGCAGCCTCAGGTTGTCTACTACAACCAGCAACAGCAGCCCTACATCATTGAGAACAACATGGTTTACTTCCTCACAGACCAGCAGCAGCAGGCAATGCACTACATCCAACGGCCAGTGCACGTAAACCAGCAGCAGGCTCCCATCCAGATTCAACGGGGAGGATCAGACCCTCTGAGGCAGCAGCCGCAGCAGCAGCAGCAGCAAGTCATGCAGAGGCAGCTCAGCGCCGCGTATGTCGATCAAATGAAGCAGCAGCAGCAGCAGCAAATCCCCAGGATGATGTTTCCAGCAGTGAACAGTTCTTCTCCTGCCCAGGCACCTATTCCTGTCTCTACGATTCCTCTGCCGGTTTCAATTCCTATTCCACAACAGTTCGCTCCCGGTCTTGAGATCAGGGCAGCACAGCAGCAACAGCAGGGATTTGTGAGGCCCATTGATCAGGCTGGGATGGTTCTTGTGTCGCAACAGCCGCAGATGCCGTACACTCCTGCGCCATAGGAACACACAGCCACCAAAAACGCGCCACAACGACAAAGTGAATAAGTGTATTGTAGCTTGATTTGAATTCCAGCTTTTGTTTGCACATGTTTTGGATGTCTTCTCTCTTTTTGTAATTGGAGGACATTTTCGCCCAAAGGAATCTGATATCATCACAAGCATAAAGAAATTTGTGGCTCTCCTGATTTTGAGTGAATTTCAAGTCTTGATCGTGTGGCGTTCTCAGGTTGGCCGCACGAGCAGTTTTAAATAAAGGTTTTCTGTCTATATCAAGATACATGTTCAGATAAGATCGATTTTGTAAAAAATTGATACGTGTTCAGAAAGTTTATAAACGCATTTGGTTATTTTTTTCGCAGGGTCTAAGTTTTAAATCGGTTTAAGTACAAAAAAGGAACTTATTTCATAAGTTTGGATAATATTTGACTGAGATGGGAGACACATCACGAGATCTTCTACTCTCCCAAGAGTTGTTCACCTTCATATCATAAGAACACGTAAAACCATCTGAAGTTGAAAAATTTAAGTACTGCCCACTGCCTACTTCGAGAGCAAGTCCCACTGCCACATCAAACACTTTCTCGCTCACAAGTTTCACCTTGTCAGGAATCTCCCAAATCCTGACCTTCGTGCTATAAGGAGCATTCTCTATTATCACTACTGCATATAATTTCCTCTCCCAAGCTCGCAGATAAGTCTTGCAATCTAAGTTCATATACACGGAATATTTACACCCAATTCTCAAAGCCCTGTAAGAGAAACTGCCACCTTCTGTGTACATGATCAATCTCTCCTTGACAGTGTCCACAACAAAGATCTTATCGTCAATCATGACCGGATCAGTAGTGAACCCAGAACCCTCGGTCTTTGACCAGCACGTTTGACCTCGAGAAAATGTCAGAACCGAGCCGAGGTCTTCCCATGCAACGAGCTTGTAGCTCTCCTGATTGACAAAGATTCGAACCCTATGGTGGGAGGAGTGTTCTAGCATTGGGATTTTCTTCCACTTGTTGAAGAATGGATTGCCCACGTAGTACTGGCCTTCCTTCAGAGAGTACGCCACCATCAACCCTTGGTTGTAAGAGTCTACGCTCAAGAAGGCCTGGCCCGTCCAAAGCATGATCTTGTTGTTACTGTCGATTATTCTGTAAGTTGGGATGTCACTCTTCTCCATTTCCTCGATTATCTTGGCGTTGTCGCTGTAGCATCGCATAAAGCTGGGTGAATCCACTATTGATTTCCATTCCTTGCACACCAATCTTGAGGTGACCACACTGGAGAACGGGAGCCGCAGCAAGACTAGCTCCAAAATCTCCTCTGGCAATAACCTCTTCATGGAAAAGGAAAACACAACCCTAGCTTTGCAGTACCACCTTTTGTAAGGTAGCTTAAAGGGAAACCTCTAAACGAACCTTTCTTTTTAAGACGTGGAATAAACCCATCTCACACTTCGTCTTCGTTTTCGCTCATCTTAATAAGATCCAGGCCGAGTTTCCCGGTTTAGCTAAACATCTTATGATCTGCACCTCCCCTCCTTGTAATGCCGAGCTTTGCAGAACAGAGCAAGCGATAAAATGTGGTCTTCTTTTTTGTAAGGTTGCATGGAGCTGGATGAGTGATATTAGCAACCCTTCTCAAAGCTTGACGATCAAGGAGACATCATAGTCGTAGATCTTCACGACGTTTCCCTTAAACACCAGAATGCTTCCTGGCTTCACGTCTCAACGCAAGATGCCTTTCTGGTGAAGATGCGTGTGACCTTCGACTCCCTGGTACGCTCAGTTGAAGTTAAATCCTCTTCAAAGGCTCCCCAAATCCCTCAAACTTCAAATACTGAAAACACCCTGCCTCCACATTTCCCCAGTTCAGTAGTCGCCACAAATCAGGATGATCATCCAATGGCACCTGTATCTCCTTCTCGACACCATTGCGCGCTCTGACATGCTGATACCGTCGTTCTGTGCTCCACGAAAACGAGCAACTGATACCGACCTCATGCAGCTGCTCCATGTATGCAACCAGGGTTGAGAACTTCCGTCTTGACGCAAATACTTACACCACCCAGAACCTGTCCATAGGCACAGCCTCATCTCCCTCCATTGCAAGAGTGCATTGGAGTCAACTCCTATCAGTTGCGTGCTTCACTGAAGCCTGGAGCCTTCATCTTTCTGTTCACCAAAACCTGAAGATCTATGAACTCCTCGAATGAAGCCGCTTTTAGGAAACACAGAATAACAGGGTAGTAATCGCTACCCGCCACCTTAACCTCCCGAAGTCTAGCGGCCCGTATATGTGCAAGTATAGAGCCATCGAGGCAACTAGAATCGGATCAGCCTAGCATTGTCTCTGAACCGGTTTGTACCTGTCGATTGGATTGTGTCTCTCAGTGGTGGGATCCTTCTATGACATATGTATTGCTTGGAGCCCACTCCTTGTAAGAGAAAAAAGAAAAAAGCATGGAAAACTCCACATTAATACCTTTAGGAAGGATCGAAGTGCTGCCCTGTGGAGTCAGAGAAATAGCCACCAGATGTGCAGGCATTTCCAGAGGCTTCATATGGATACGCCCCTTCTCATCGGTGAGCACCAAATCCCACAGCTCGTCGTCCTCCATGCCACCTCCCGTGAGTAAATAGTTATGTTTAAAACCTGCAAAGATCGTCTCCTGTATAAAGAGATTTATAAAGAACGAACCCGCGTTTGATCTGCGGCTGCCTTTACCGATGTTGCCAGCGTCGCCAACGAGCAGGCGAGATCCCAAAAGAGGCGCCGTTTGCCCTCCCGGTGAGCAACTGTTGCAGCTGGTGTTTCTAAAGCATTTAGTATATATCAAGCATAGACAAAACTTGAAGAAGCTTGTGGCGAGCATCAAAGCTGCAAAACACGAGGATATAATAGTTTTCCATGGATGATTTAAGCCTTGTGTCCTGCCCTGCAAGAGTGAAACATGAGTTTTGCAATGCGACGAAAATGCACAACTTCACCAGACGAAAAAGCCAAGGTACCACTCGCTCCTGTTTTGCGTTGAACATCGCCTCCTTTTATTTAGCTGCGCAGCCCTGTCGTTTATCAGCTCCAACAGTTCAGTCCTCCACAATAAATCCCTTTACCATATCAAGAGCGAGCGAGAGAGAGAAGTTCCAAGTTTTCATCCATCCTGAAAGTTCTTCGCTTCAAAGAGAATGGTTGCTAGCTTTTTGAGAGTCAGTCACGCCGTCGCTCGTCAGCTTCACTTCGACTAGAAGAATCTCCTGCTTAGTTAGTCCAAGCACAAGAGAGCAAAGGAAAAAAAACTTCACTCACCTTTGTAAGATGGATTCGATTTCTATGAATGGTGCGCACTTTCTTCTTCCCAATTCCCAGTGCTCATCGCCGCGATCAGACCAGATGTCCGAGGACGAGAGCACGAGGGTGAAGCTCATGTGTAGCTATGGCGGCCGGATCGTGATGAGCCCACACGACTCCCAGCTCCGCTACATCGGCGGCGACACGCGGATCTTCGTCGTCCCCCGGACCATCTCCTACGCGGATTTCCGCGCCAAGCTCTCCAAGATCTGTGGCGGCCGCAGCGTTCTCCCCAAATACAAGCTCCCTTACGAGGATTTCGACGCACTCGTCTCGATCTTATGCGACGACGACCTGGAAGCGATGCTGGAAGAATACGAGCGCCTCGACGCCAGGGATTCCCCTTCCAAGCTCCGCCTGTTCCTCTTCCCAACGATCCCTGCCGGCCACATCCCTAGCGCCGCATCGAGCGAGCAGAGCTTCCTAGACGCGCTAAACAACAACGGGATCATCCATGAAGAGCAGCTCCCAGATTACCTCTTTGCTAGCTCCACCACTCCAAGACCTAGGCCGGTTCCGCCATTCCCAGCTCCTGCCATCGCGATCGATCCCATCAGCATCGCGCAAAACCCGATCATCCCCCAAACTATTTTGCAAATTTTGCCGCCCAGCCCGCTCGAGAAGATGACCGGACCGTCCACGTCATCACCGTGTGGCCAGGTCAGCCCTAATCCACAGGAGATGAAACTGGGAGATTTGGAAGAGAAGCCAGGCAAAATGAATGAATCCAAGAAAGCATTCCAGCAATCATCCATATTCCCAAAAAATCTAGGAGAGCAGAGGATTGGTGTAATGAGGCAAGAACTTCCCATTAATTTCTCACACCAACCCCACCACCAAAATTTCTTGCCCCATCACCAGCAGCAGTCCTATTTCACTGAAGGAAACATGGTTTACTTGCAGCAGCCAGTGCAATACATGATCCAACAGCCAGTGCACGTAAATCACCACATGAAGATCCAACGGACGGGGTCAGACCCCATCAAGCAGCACCACCAGAACCAGCAGCAGCAGAAAGTCATGCGAAGGCAGCTCAGTGCCACTGATCTAGATCAGATGCAGCAGCAGCAGCCACAGCATATTGATCACCAAGTCCAGCAGCAGCCTCTGATCATGCGGAGGCAGTTCAGTGCTGCTTATCTCGATCAAATGGACCAGCAGCATCAGCAGCAAGCCACAGTTCCTGCTATGCGGCGGCAGTTCAGCGCAGCTCATCTAGATCAGATGAAGCAGCAACCCAGAATGATTTTTCCAGCGATTAACAGCCAATCTCCTCCCTGTTTCTACGTTTCTGGTGCGGTCGCTAGCCCGATCCATCAGCAGATCGATCCTAATCTTGATCAACACAGTGGCAACAGGGATTTGTAAGGTTTCTATTCCTTAGCAGACATTAGGTATGTAGGCACGCGAAGGCAACAAGTAGAAAGTCACGGCTTTGTTTCGGATTGCGTGTTTCAGATAATTGTTGCCTCTCGCGTGCTGCTGGAAAAGAATCGATTCGTCACGATGATTATGAACTCATCGAATCTCATCCTAATCGATTAGTCACAATGATTATGAACTCGTTTGGTTTTATAAGCACTAAGATTCAAAGACAAACCGCTAAAGGATTGGTTTGCTAACATCACAGACTAACCTGTGGCCCCTCCCTGTAAGCCTTTGACCTCTTCAGGTTGGGTACATTCTCCTCAGACAATCTCAAAACACTTGGAGGTCAAAAACGAGTGTTTTGCATTTTCATTTGCCATTATTTTCCATCCTTTTACAATTTGGCATATTCTTTTAGGGCTCTTGCGCAAATTTTAGGGCTCCCGGGCGAGCAGCGTTTTGAGGAGAATCTCATTCCACATGTCGATCGGCCCGGGCAGGCACCAGTGGAGGCAATCGCTCTGGACCGCGCTTCCATCGGGCGTGAGCGTCCTGGAGCTCCGGAACACCCCGGGATGGCCATCGGGGCGGAGGTAGGCGCTGTAGGACACGTCCACCAGCTTGAGCTTGGATCTACTAGGGTTCTTGGCCGCGGCGCGATCGAACTCCTCCACCTGGATCCGCCGCATCTCGCTCGCCATCCACGGCAGCTCCACCGCGCTTTGGTTCCGGAATGGCTCCGTGCGATTGCACGTCCCGCCATTCCACCACTCGCCATTCTCGAAATGCTCCGCCGAGAAGGTCCGCAGGAATGTGGTTCCAGCGTAGCCATCGCGCGCGGCGATGGAGTCCAAGACGCCGCCCAGCGCCATCCGGTAGGCGTCGATGAAGCTCAGCGGCGGGATGGATTCGTCGCCGCAGTGGTGGCAGCCGACGATGGATCCGCCGCGGTAGTAGACGCTGGGCTTGAAGAACCAGGGCCCCGAGGAGAGGACGATGGCGTGGAATTCGTGGAGCCGGGACATCCAGATCTCCTCCGGGGTGTCGAGATGGATGTGGATGATCGTGCTGCCGTTGCTGGATCGCTGCTCGTGCTTGACCAGGAATGGCGACCAGAAGATCGCGAGAGTGAAGTTGAAGGAGGGCAGGAGCCAGATCACGTCCTTGTCGATGGGGTCGCGGTAGAGATTTCGCGGCTCCTCCACCTGTGCGTGAATGGAATCGATTGGAAACCGATCGATCGAGAGATGGAAATTGGAAGTGTTCTTACCTGGGAGATGGCGCACAGTAGCGATTGCATGTGATTCCTGGCGATGGAGTCGCCAAAGAAGATCATCCTCTTGTTCCTCATGACGCGCAAGAACAGGGCGGGATCGAAGCGCGGGAGATCGCATTCGTCCGGGCGCCATCGCCAGGCGAGAAATCCTCGATCCGGCCGGCCGTTCTTGAGGCAGTTCTGGTGGCCCTGGATGTAGCGGCAGGTCTCGTTGGTGTAGAGCGGCGGCGCAGCCTCGGGGATCCACTTACCCTTGGAGAGATCGCAATCTGTGGCGCCATGGATCGCCAATCAAGATCAAGAACACCAAGAACACCAAGAACACCAAGAACAAGAAAATGTTCTACCTCGAGTGGAAATATTTGCGCCCAGCGACGCGGAATGGAGCGAGTAGAGCACCGCTTCCTGATCGATGAGGGAGGAATAGACGAGGAAGACGTAGCAATTGACGATCGCGATGGGGACGAGCGCGATCAAGCCCGAGCAGCACAGGTACTTGAGGAGATTTCCCCTGCCTTGATCCACTGCCGTCGCCGCGGAGGAGGATTTCAATCCCATCGGCTTGCCGCCGTCCTCGCCGATCGGGATCATCCTCGCTCCCTCCTGAGCCGAGAATCCCCCATTTTCCCTGCGCGATCTGACAGAAAGAAGCAAATTTCTTGCTCCATTCCAGCTACTGCAGGTGCTGCATTGCTGTCCATTCTGGTGAATTGCACTCGGCGTTTTTTTTTCGATCGATGTGAGGAGTAGAATCGACGCGGTGTCCACCGAATTGACTGCTCACCTCACCAAGTTCCCATCACCCACCTAAAAGAATGAAGAACCCTAGTTTTTTAACGAGTACTTCGTTGTGTTGTGTTTTCTCGTCATAAAGATTTGGCAGACAAAGTTCTAAAGTAGAGATTGCGATCGACCGATCATAGTCAAAAAGATTATATAGTGTTTGTCCTGTACAAATCGTTCTACACAAAAAGAATATACGGTTTCTTCTTCACTGATCCATGAAGGGATTGATGAGAGAAAGCAAGCCAGAGTCTCCCTTGAGCAAGAACACGAGCTTGGGCGAGTAGCTTTCTTCCTCGTGATCGTTTCGATCGCTCGACCAGAACTGGCTCGGGGGTTGTAGCAACCGGCAGCTCTCGGAGCAGTGGATCACTGATAAACGAGGACCATTTCGCAGCTGCCATACCTGGAAAAAATCGCAAAGATTCGTGAGCTCTGAGAAGGAAAGTTTTGTTTTTGCTTACCTCCACTACAGCTCTACGAGGAGCATGAATCGCGAGACAGAGAGAAAAGTCTTCCTTCACGCAAGAGCTCCTGTGCTGGAGTCCGGACGAGCCATTCAGTGGTGCCTCGAGGAACTTACAGTGAGCATCACGATATCCCTGCCAAACAATCGCTATGAGATCATCCACGTAAAGAACGTCCATTACCTTCCATAGACGAACCACGACGAGAGCATGTACGTCGACGAGAAGAACTCGTCCCAAGGAATCGGTCACAGCAGCCAGTGAACAAGTTGGAGACAACGCCAAACTTTCGCCCTTGCGCGGGGAATCTTTCAGAGCTGTGATGAGCGAGGCTGGAGAAAAAAGAAAAAGCTCAAGGTGGTCTACGTTTTTACAGTGATCGCTATTACCTCTGGAGAACTCTTGGGCTTTCACCTCTGCCGGTCTAGCTTCTTGGACAGGCTCGCTGTTGCGTCGAAACGCTTTGGCGAAAGAAGTTATCCTAGAGACCGTCGCCGGAACAACCTTGTTAAACAGTAGCTCGGTCAGTGACTTCCTTCGATCTTCTGAAAGCCTGACATGGAACAAGTTTAAAATCCGAGAGAGTGAAGAAAGAAGACAAACCTGAAAGCAGCCAGTGTGCTGTCCGATCCAATGGTCACGGCACAAAAGTAGCGCTCTCTCGACTGCAAGAAAGAACTGCTTTTAAAACTTGGTATCAGTCGAAGCTGCGACAAATGCTCGAGGAGTGTCTGCGTTTCCCAACCTGTTGCTCAAAGAGAGCTGGCGGAAGCACGCCAGTTATCGCGGCATCCACGCAAATGCTACTTCCCGAAGACTTGACACTCCACACCTGATACGAAAGCTTCGTCGATTCTGCCGCGATCAACTGGCGCTCGAGCGTGGAGTTTCTCGCAACTTCAAGCAATCGTCTGCGTAGTTGTGACTGGGTTTAAAAGCAAAAAAAAAAAAGACAAGTATGGCTCGGAAACAAAAAAAAAACCTGGAGTTCTTACCTGGAGATCTAAGGCGTCGATTCTCGCGATGGAGCTCTGGAAAGCAACAGAGAGCTCCTCGGCAGTATCACGCTTGTTCTGGTTGCACCTCACGTGTAAGTTGCAAATCGATCCAACATTGAAGCTCTGGAAGAAAAAAATCCATTTTCCCTTAAAAAAAAAGCTTTTTTTTCCTTGCTCGCAAACCTGTTTGATAAGGAGATCTCCAATCTCCGAGTAGAAGCAAAGAATGCCCAACGACGTACCGACGGCGAGAACCGACCATCCCTCCCAAAAGAGCCACTCCAGTGCGGTGATTCGATACGAGGGATCGGCCCCGGTAGCGGCTGGGATGGAATCGATCGAGAAACCTGATGCGCGAGGCGCGGAGCTGTGAGCGCCACTCCAGGGCGTGACAACGAGCGATCGCTGCCTGGCAATGGCGACCAGATCTCGACCCATGGCCGCGACGAGAGCGGCGTCATCCAGCCATCCCGGCTTGCCCGCCCCCACCGCGCCGAGCTCGGACACCAGGCACCCCCACCATAGGCTCGGCTGCTTGCCCGCCATCGCCTGGCCAAGCCCTAAAAGGATCTTCTTACATTACGTGGCATTTTACCATTTAAAGATTATTCTCTTACATTTTTTTCAAACGCGATCATCTTTATAGAATATTGTAAATTTCATTTATGCATACAAATTTGGTGGTATGGTGTAGCTCTAGGGAGAGTTGCCCAGTGCAATGTAAACACCCTGAATCAAGGGAGGTCCACTGTGAATTGCTGTGAGCTGAACACTATTAAATTAAAAGAAAATAATAAAATTAGTTTGGATGGTTTTTTTTTCTTCTTAAAAGACTCTAATTGACATTAAATTAAAAATTTATAAATTCTAGTAATATATAAAAATATTGTGTGTGTGTGGTGCCATCTAGCGGTTGTTATTCATTTAGATTAATCTTGTATTTATAATTTATAGACATGTTTATAATTATAAACTTCTGGATTATTAAATAAATAAATAAATAAGATTAGCACTGAGCAAACTTCCCATGCAATGCGCAACAAATATTTTTTATTTGCTTTTACATTTATTTTAATAATGTCTAAACTTAATTACTGATTTTCTTTTAACCTCTATCACTGTATCATAGAGTGACTTATCACTTTAGCTTAGAAAAAAATTAGGAAATTTTAGTATGGTCCCATGCCTGATGGGTGTTGCGGTGACTTAAAACATATCTATCTATCTATCTATCTATCTATCTATCTATCTGAACTTTCTTAAGCTAATTTTTTATATCAAAAGGCATTGATGCTTAGTTAATACTCTCTTAAACTAGTGTTTAAACTAAAAAAGTTAAATATCCACAATATATAGGCGGAAATTGATCTAATTGCGCCATCAGAGGGGGTTCATGTTTGGGGCCTTGTTTAGCTCGGCCGCACAGACATCTACCGGCGCAAGAACTAGAGCAAATGCATGCATGTGGGTAAAAGTAGGTCGTCAATGACAGAAAGCCTGGAGTGTGCAAGGTCTTCATGTAAGGATCAGCTCGATCAAGAAGAAGACGCTGCCGTGGCGCTGCGTGCCAAGGTATGTTTGTCCTCTTTATCTCTTGAATTCTCCTGCTTAATAAGCGGAGCGAGCTGAACGGCTTGGCCAAAGTACAGGCGCTGACTGGGTGCTGGTAGAGGAAGAAATTGCAACAGCCATTGCTATGATGTTTGTCCTTTATCCCGTGCAGGTGGCTAGTTGCAGGCCTTGCGGGGTCCATGAACACCGAGAGATTTCTTGGAAATTCCTGCTCTTTGAATGTGTACTGCTGATGAAGATCTTCTCAAAGTGGCTTCACTTGCAAGAGATACCTAGAACTTTTAACAATTGATTCTTTCTAACCTTTAAGCCTTTGTAAACTCAAGGTTCTTTTTATCCTGCTTACAAACTCAAGGTGCACTGAGTACAGTTGGTGGGCATGAGACCGCTTTGGACATGAGTGGTGGAGACAGGGTATACGTGCTAGGAATGACGAGAGACTGGAGCCAAGGGCTTTGAAGGGATAAACAAGAATGATGTGGGGTCAGAAGGGCATGTTGTTGCTCTTGATTTGGGATCACAAACATAAGTCTTAATTGGATGTTTTTCTGCATTGACGAAATGCTTAAGTATTCTCTTTTGTGCATCTGGGAATTTGGCACTAAGAATTTGAGCAAGCTCAGCATGAGGATCTGGGCTAGGAATGGAACCTCATGGTGATGGCATTTTAAGAAATTGATATTGCATGAGCAGCCTTTAGACTTACAGAAATGTTCAAGCTAGTCAATAATATCATTCTAAATAGTGATAAATTATTGACTAGCTTGAACATTTCTGTATATACAAGTTTTTCCATTTGCTGGGCCATACAGCAATAAAAACAATGGACGCGAGATTATATTTTTGTCAACGCAAATCTACGCTCTTTGTTAGAAAAAAGTGAAGCATCGAGTTGACTGAGAAGGTTAGCTAGTGAACACCCAACACCCAAGCACTGGCGACCATCGGGACACGTTGATATATCCCGCTCCAAATGTGTCGCTGCTATAAAGGTGCCATTAAAAGCAGGAAAAAAAGAAAAGAAAAGGAAAGAGAGATCTTTGCAATGGTTGAGGAGTTTGTTCCAGTCCAGGAGCTCGGCAAATCCTTGAAAGAGGTCCCCAAGAACTACATAGCTCCCGAGGACAAGATCCCGGTGGTGAACGAGCCTGGAAAGTCCGTCCCGGTGGTTGATCTCTGTGACTTTGATCTCAGCCCCAAGCAGCATGAGAGAGTGGTCCACGAGATCGCAACTGCCAGCAGCGAGTGGGGGTTCTTCCAGGTGATTAACCACGGCATCGATGTTGCCAAGCCGCAGAGGGCGTCGATGGATTTCTTCGAGCTGCCAAAGGAGGAGAAGCTCAAGTACGCTGCCAAGGAGTATGGCTTCAAGAGTGATGGCTATGGAAGTAAGATCTCCAACGCCGACGATGCTGTCCTACTATGGAGGGACTACCTTTTCCTGTGCACGTCTCCAAAGAGAAACTTGGATAACTGGCCCACACAGCCACCGGAATACAAGTAAGTCAGCTTCCCTGTTCTTCCATTTCTTTGTCTCGTGAAAATTTCCCTGTTCTTCCAGTTCTTCGTTTCTAAACCCCGTGACTGCTAACTTTCCAGAGAAGCGATGTCCGGTCTCGCTGATGACTTCCTGATGCTCGCAAAGAAAGTCCTGGGATTCCTATCCGAAGGTGTCGACCTCCCTACTGACTACTTCGAGAAGTGCTTCGGAATTCCCAACCAATCCATCCTGACGAACTACTATCCCGGTTGTCCAGAGCCTGACAAGGTGCTCGGCTTCATGCCCCACTCCGACTTTGGAGGACTTACGTTGCTGCTTCAAGATGGTGTTCCCGGCCTCCAAGTTCTCAAGAACAACACCTGGGTGGTCGTCGAGCCCATCCCGGGAGCAATCACCATCAACATCAGTGATCTCCTTGAGGTAAACGTTCTTCCTGTTTTGCACTTGTGTTTATGATGAATTCCCAGTTGATGAGCAACGGGAGGTACCGGAGTGTCATCCATCGCGTGCAAGTGAACGCGTCGCGTCCCAGGATGTCCATTGCTTGCAACTACAGCTGCTCGTTTGATTCCGGTGTTGCCCCTGCTCCGGAACTCATCGACGAGGAGCACCCCCAGCTCTACAAGCCTGTCAACTTCGGAGACTACGTTCAGGCGGTGGTGAAGAAGGGTCCAACTGGAAAGTCTTACATGCTTATCAACCACGACTCCAAACCGGAGTACATGCTCTTCCAAAAGCATTGAGAGAAGCAAGGTTTTCTACTGTGATCCTGGAAGTATCAATCAGAACAAAGAAATAATTATTGAGCTTCACGTTCACAAGAGGGCAGCTACATTATGAAAAACGCAATAGATCTTTTTGTCAAACTTTGGAACGTCAATGATACCCAAATGTTAAGGACAGAAAAAAGTCAAGCCTCGAGTTGACTGGTAGCTAGTCAACACCCACCTGCTCCAATTGTTTCGCTATTAAAAAGGTACGAGCATCTGAAAGGACGAAAGGAGAGATCTTTGCAATGGTTACGGAGTTTGTTCCAGTCCAAGAGCTCAGCAAATCATTGAAAGCGGTCCCCAAGAACTACATAGCTCCCGAGGACAAGGTCCCGGTGGTGACCCGCGAGCCTGGGAAGTCCGTACCCGTGGTTGATCTCTGTGACTTCAATCTCAGCCCCGAGCAGCATGAGAGAGTGGTGCGCGAGATCGCAAGTGCCAGCAGCGAGTGGGGATTCTTCCAGGTGATCAACCACGGCATTGATGTCACCAAGCCGCAGAAGGTGTCGAGGGAGTTCTTCGAGCTGCCCAAGGAGGAGAAACTCAAGTATGCCGCCAAGGAGTATGGCTTCAAGAGTGATGGCTATGGAAGTAAGATCTCCAATGCTGCCGACGCTGTCCAGCTATGGAGGGACTACTTTTTCCTGTGCACGTCTCCAAAGAGGAACTTGGATAGCTGGCCCGCGCAGCCACTGCAATACAAGTAAGCTAGCTTCTCTGTTCTTCCATTTCTTCGTCTCTGAAAGGTGGTCTGTTATGAAGTCCCTGTTCTTCCATTTCTTCGTCTTTAAACTCCGTGATTGCTAACTTCCAGAGAAGTGATGTCCGGTCTCTCTGATGACTTCCTGATGCTCACGAGGAAAATCCTGGGATTCCTGTCCGAAGGCGTTGGTCTCCCTACAGACTACTTCGAGAAATGCTTTGGAGTTCCCAACCAATCCATCCTGACGAACTACTATCCCGGTTGTCCAGAGCCTGACAAGGTGCTCGGCATCGAGCCCCATTCCGACTTTGGAGGACTCACATTGCTGCTTCAAGATGGCGTTCCCGGCCTCCAAGTTCTCCAGAACAACACCTGGGTGGTCGTCGAGCCCATCCCGGGAGCAATCACCATCAACATCAGTGATCTCCTCGAGGTAAAGTTCTTCCTGTTCTGCTCTGTCCGTCTCCAAACTTGTGTTTGTGATGAACGCCCAGCTGATGAGCAACGGGAGGTACCAGAGTGTCATCCATCGCGTGAAAGTGAACGCATCACGTCCCAGGATGTCCATCGCTTCCAACTACAGCTGCTTGTTCGATTCGACCGTCGCCCCTGCTCCGGAACTCATCGACGAGGACCACCCCCAGCTCTACAAGCCTGTCAAATTCGGAGACTACGTTCAAGAGGTGGTGAAGAAGGGTCCAACTGGAAAGGCTTACATGTTTATCAACCACGACTCCAAGCCAGAGTACATGCTCCTCCCAAAGCATTGACAGAAGCAAGGTCTTGTACTGTGATCCTGGAAGTTGCAATCAGAACAAGTAAATAAAACAGTGAAGTGAACGACAAAGTTTTACCTGGTACACGCTCCAAGCTAGCGCTTGCTCCTCTCCTCGTCCTGCTTAGCTTTCTCTGCTTCGACTACGCGCTGTGTCATCTCGTCTGTAAGCTGCTGCTTCCTGTCCACGACCCACTCAGCCACGGATTCAATGACGCTCTTGTCCTGCTCTTTAGTTGGTGGTGGTGAAGACGATGCGGTGGCAGCAGCATCATCCAGCACTTTTTGCTCAGCTACAATCCGCTCGGTCTCCTCGCGGGCAGCGTCGTTGAGTTTGGCGAGATTGGGAGGCACTTGCGTTCTGCCTTGAGCTGCCGACATCGCGCGCTGTGCGTCAACCTCACGAGCCGACACGGACTGTACATGACGAATCGATCCCTGTAATACGTCCGTGAACTCGGAAGCCACATCCCCGATTGCGTCCAGGATCCCCCTGCCAGCTTCAGTCGCCGCCTCCATGCGTTGCTTGGTGTTTTCCTTCACTTTCTCGGCATTGTCTCTGGCTTTGCTCTTTGCCTCGTCGTATTTTTCTCGAAGGTTACGTTGCTGTGGTTGAGGGGCTTCTGCTTTCTGTGGCCGATGTTCTTGGTGCTCTCCGGCTGTTGGCGTTGTGACAACACCCTTGACGTAATTCAGTACACCTTTGCCTCGATCTGCCGTCTCATCGGTCTTGTGCTTTACATTTTCGACAGCGTCTTCACTTTTCTGCTTCAAGATCCCCGCCGTATCCTTGACTTTGTCCACCACCCGGATCCCTCTTGCTGCAGCCTCATCCTTCGTTTCATACACCTTGTTACGTGTGTCTTCCGCGGTGCCTTTGACACGATCCAAGAGAGCATTGCCTCGCTCAGAAGCCTCGTCTTTTGTCTCGTCAACCGAGTCATCCGCCGCATTCTTGCCTTTCTCCTTCAGCTCATCGGCTCTGTTGCCAACTCGCTCGGTTCTATCGTGCGTCACGTCCTCGGTAGTCCCGGCCACAGCGTTCCTCAAGTTACTAGCCATCTCACCGAGTGCTCCAAACAGGCCTTTGCCTTGCTCCGAAGCTCTGTCCGCTGCGTCTCCAGCCTTGTGTTTTGTTTCATCCACAGCACTCCGAGCTCTGTCCGTCACCTCGTCCTTGGTTTCCCTCACATACCTCTTCGTATCGTCCACCGTTCTCTGAGTTTTATCTTTCACCTCGTCCTTGGTTTCTATTGCAGATTTCTTCGTTTCCTCGGCGGACCTCTTTGCTTTGTCTGTCACCTCGTCCTTGGTTTCTCTCGCAGACTTCTTTGTTTCATCGGCGACCCTCTTTGCTTTGTCTGTCACCTCGTCCTTGGTTTCTCTGGCAGACTTCTTTGTTTCATCGGTGGTCCTCTTCGCTCTGTCTGTCACCTCGTCCTTGGTTTCTCTCGCAGACTTCTTTGTTTCATCGGTGGTTCTCTTGGCTTTGTCAGTCATCTCATCCTTGGTTTCTCTCGCGGACCTCTTTGTATCGTCCACTGTCTTGCCAGCTCGATCCTTGATATCGTCTTTGGTCTCTCTAGCGGATTTTTTCGTGTCGTCGGCTCTTTCTCTGGCTCGGTCAGTTTGATCCTCGGTTTTTCCTTGGTATTCCCCAGCAGTCTCTCGAGCCCTGTCCGCCATATGACGTCCCTGTTCCTTGGCGTCCTCTGTGACGCCCCCGACAGCGTTCTTGATATTCGTGGCGATTTCTCCCAGCGCACCGAGCAAACCCTTGCCATGTTCCTCGGTCTTGTGCTTGGCTTCATCGATCCTGTGCTTCGATTCATCGATCTTCTGCTGCCCGTGACTGGAATCCTCAGCCCTCTCGTCCTCTGGCAGTAGAAATCCCTTCTGGAACCATCCAGATCCCTGCTGCTGCTGGACTTCCTGAGGAGCATGCGTCGACAATCCAGGCTGGGACGCTCCAAAAGCCTCCTTGACATCCTGGGCCGCGTTCTCGGCGCCCTCGGCGACACTCTGGGCTCTAGATTGAATCAAAACCTCCCATTACTCACAAATTTCCCCCAGCATTGCAGCGTTTGATCGAAGAATCGAATGGACATACCCGTGCTTCACTGCGCGCTTAGCGTCATCCATAGCCAAAAGCTTCCAGTTTGAAATGCTTCTAAACGGCGCCAACCCTAACTTCGTGTAGAAACGTGGCAAGCCTCTGGCAGCATCCTAGCCGCTGGCACGTCAACGGCTGGATATGGACTTACGCGCCGGGCGATCGATCATTCTCTCTTAAGCTATGGTGGATTCTTTGATCGATCGCTTGCCCTAGCTACATTCTCTGTGCTCTCTCTTCCCGATCAGCGATGCGCGTATGGTGCCTGGGCTCATCGGCGGTGGTAGCAAGCTCCACCATTCAGCCGCGAGCGATCAAGAGCAGTATTGCGCCGCGATGGACGTGCTGCAGGGGAGATCTCAGGTTTCTTGACTATAACTTGGTCGGATCGTCGGCGGCATTCCTCCGGAGCTTTGGTTTCACGCCCTCGAGGTAGGAAATATCGCTCGAAATATTCTAAGAAATCGATCGATCGCTGTTTTGTTAGGAATGGCAAAGAGCTGCCTTGTGCCGATTGCCGAGGACGAGGGTATCTTTACTGCAAGGAGTGCGATCTCGGCAGCCCGTGCTCCTCCTGTGTGGAATGCGCTGGAAAGGTATACAGCTTGTTCTAAGATCTCATCTTATCTTCTTTCATGGAGTTCCTCCCAGGGGATTATGAAGTGCCAGCAGTGTCAAGGCGATCGAGTCGTGCGAGGAAGATCGGTCTACATGCACGAAGAGTTTTGGGAGAAGCTCCATTCAGTGTAAGTTCCTTCGCTCCATTTTTTTGTTGTCTCTCTATCTCTCTCTTTCTTTTTCTCTTCTCGGCGCATAGATGGTTTTCTAGACTGCTCTCTCGGATGCTGACCTCCTGCTTGTCTGGGAAGGTTTTTGGAAATTGCGATGGCTGGTTTTTCGATTAACAGTTTGTCCGCGACTGGGCCTAACGTTGGTCGTTGTCAAGCAGCTCTTCCATCACCGTGAAGGACGACGAAGCCATCGAAAACATGAGCATTCCAGCGGCTGTCGCCACCAAGCGTGTATATGGTCCTGTTACCGCAGCAACCCGGACCAAGATCAGCCATGCGCTAAAGGTTGGAAATACCATCGTAAATACCATCGTCGAGACTCACAGTTTCTCTCGTAGGACTTCGAAAGGCGGACTGGCTCAATAAGCAGTCGCATGAGGAAACTACACGAAGATCCAGTTTTGCACGCTGAAAGAGTAGCTGCGATTCAGGTATGAGAGTTTTTCAAAGCAAGGAGCTTACTGTTGTGCGTAGAAAGCGAAAGGAACGGATGAATCGAGGAAGAACATCTCGACTAAGCTGATAGCTTACTTCACGAACCCTGAGAATAGAATCAAACAAAGTTTACGCATGAAAGGTACCAGCAAAGTACCCTCTCCACAAAGTTCCTGACGCAACTGTCACAATGCAGGCGTGAAGTATTACTGCCGAGCTTGTGGAGAGGAGGGCCATCGAAAGAGCTTCTGCCCGAGCTCCACAGAGCCACCACGGCCGAGCCGCGCAGAATCGCGATGCAGCGAATGTGGAATCGTTGGACACCGAGCAAACTCCTGTCCTCGAAGCGATCGGCGGCACATTGGCCGAGCTCCATACAAGTGCACGAACTGCAATGGGACAGATCACAACGCTCGGACTTGTCCACAGATACTCGACAAGAGCTCGGCAAACAAATGCAGTATATGTAAAACTTACGGGCACAACAGGAGGACGTGCCCCGAAAGATCTTCCATGATACAAGAAACTCGCGATGGTGGTAGTGAAACTGAGGACCTGTGAATACAACTTACACAACGAGAACACTGATCGATCGATCGATCACCTGTACAAGTCGACGACGACGACCAACTGAAAACCAAAAAACTTACAAGGACGTAACCTTTGGCTGACTATCTTCCAAAAGATTGGCACACGCTTCCGGACCTACACGCAGACTTGATGTTAAGTTTCCACAGAATGACGATGAGAAGTGTTCATTGCTCCTGCTTTAAACTGGGGTTTCCGGGAGGAGAAGATCGGTGTTGTCATCAGCATCGCTTTTCCGGAGATCCAGTGATTGTAGAGCGGGATGCTTGTAAGATCCCTGTATGCACTGAAGTAGCTCATCTTTTGCGCCGCTTTTCTCATCTTCAGTATCCTTCTTCATTGTGGTCTGGAATATATCAAGTGATATCAATAAGTGCTGGAAAGAACGTTTCGTGCATACGTACCTCCATAGAAAGGTTTGCGAAGATCGGCACGAACCGGCTTTTGCAATAGTTGTCGAAGAAGAGAGTGATAAACGGAAGAAAAATGGTGAGAATGGATGCATTGGGCTTTTGTTTAACCCCGAAGACGCCAATGAAAGTGATTTGCATCAACACCAGCGCAAATATGACGCTGCTATGGACGTGCGGCCAGAACTGTCCACTTGTTTCATAGGAAGGCTCATAGACGAACAAAACCTGCGACAAGCACAAAGAACTTCGTCAGAGAAAGGAAACATTGTCACGTTTGATCAACAGTACCTGGTTGCGATAAACAATGTATCCAAACACGAGGTAAATCAACAAAAACGGGAGTAGCAACGGTGCCAGGACCGCGTACATGAGGCCCAGCAATATGAATAGTTGCACGCTTGGGAGAGCACGATAATATGGTAATGAAATAGCGTCTGTCTCGTCGAATGTGGTCTTGCCAAGGATTCGTACTTTGATGAAGTTGAGGAGGAAAATGCCAAGCTGTAGAATTTCCGTTGAAAACCCAGTCCAACCCGTAGTAAGAATGTAGGTGATGAAGAAAGTGGACTGCAATGAAATGCAAATAAGCGGAAAGTACAGAACAATGTAAGTTGCGGCTTACTTGTCTCGGCACATAGATGGCCAACTGGTTTGGAATGTTCTTCGGCTCCGAGAAGCCAGCGTAAAGTTGATCGATCAGAGATCCCGACAATGACGAGATGAAGAAGACGTTGCCAACCAGGAAAAAGAAGACTTTCCGTGCCGCTTCTCTTTCCTGAGTACTTCGAGAAACGTGTCCTTCGACCTTTGAGAGAAACAGCATAAGTGACGGAACAATGTAGAGCAATAGACTAAGTAGCACACTTGGAAGGTAACCAGTAATAACCGACTTAATACCAGGACTGCAGCAAAAGGGCGATGTCAATACCAACAAGTGATGAACGAAAAACAAAAATAAGACTTACATCTTCAAGACAATTTTGATGGCAGGGAACCACTTCCTGAGATTTTCCAGCTGAGCGATAGTTTGAACGAGACCCACAGGGATGACGAAAGTGAGGATGATAGCGAACACCGCGACCCATACTCCGACTGCATAGAGCTTTGACAAGAGGAGAGGGATAGATAAGTTTGGCCAGTAGACATCCCTAGGTTCTGGAGCCCAATCCGTAACCCAGGCCATTGGATTTTCTGCTTGCTGCGTCTGTGCGGCCATAGCAGCGCCCCATCGGCTCTTGAACGAAACAAACGCACTAGGAAGTTCTGCCTGTAAAAGAAAAAACAAAACAAACGATGTAACTTCTAACTTTAAGGATCTAAGGTCACCTCGCCGTTGTTTTGAAGCTCTCGTTGGCCCTCTCTAAACTCGTCGAAGAGTTCCTCAAACTTTCGGGACTTGAACTCAAGCTGGTCGACCTTTGAACCAAATAGTCCCAGCCACCCGTCTCGACAAGTTGGCCTTTCATGGGGAGCAATCTGCTTCAATCTCTCAATTTCCTTTACGAGCGACTCAAGCGTTTGCTGCAAAAGTAAGTCAGTAACAAGAAACGAGAAAAGATAAAGAGCACAAACCTTCTTGCGCACCACTCTCCAATCGCGAATAACCATTTGGTGGGACAAGTAAGTGTGCGGATGATACTGACTAAAAAACCGATCGATGGAAGCACTGTAGCTTTCTTCCTGGCTCTCTCGAGGTATAGAGCGAACAAGAACAGTGTACTGATCCGGTTGAGGCCGAGCGGTACTTAAAACCTCCAGCCGCTTCTGAGTAACGTGCTTGTATTCCTGGAAACCAAACAAAAGCTTGAATTTCAAGCAAAGCGAAAGAAATATTCCGGAAACACAGACCATGTGTAGAAGCCAATAAGCCGAGAATGAGATCACATATAGCGCAGCCAGATGAATCCAGAGCCTACGAAGAAAGAGAAAAAAGATTTTCTTCAAGGGAAGGGTATGATCGAATCTAATCGCTGAGAAAACAAACATACCGATTTGAGCCGTTACTTATGTTGGAAATCGTGAATAAATCCAAACTATCGAAGAGAAGCCCAATCTGAGAAGCGTGAGACACCTGGTTGTCGGTGTAATTCAGCGGTGCTAGAATTCCAACGCCGATGAGCGTGCAAATCGCGAAGAATCTCATGCTGGAGGAAGAAATGTAAGAGAAGAACGATCAATCGGAAAGGATCCAACCTGAAGATGAAAATCCGGAGGAGCACAGCCGCATCCAGGCCACACGACGCGATAATCTCGTCTTCCGATGGCTGGAGAGCTCGCTGGATCCATCCAGCTGATGGAACGAGGCTCGCGAGCTTGAATCGATCCGTCTTGAACACATTCTTCTGGCGCAGCACATACCTCGGGAAATACACATTGACATTCGTGCGCTGCTTGCGGAAGATCGAGTAGAGCGAGTAGAAGATCACCGCGAGGCCGATGTTGATCCCGGCGGACGCTACCAATCCTCCCAGCTGCATCGCTACAAACCGATAATCTTCGTCCTCCTCTCAAACCCTAGAAATAAAAATGTGACACAGTGTTACGTGGCGCTCTGGCACGGGTCCACGTTATGCCGACGTGGCGGGTTTGACACTAGGGGAAGGGTTTTAGTAGCTAGAGCTTCTTCGTTGTGAGGTAGGCCGCCAACAGGGCGCTTTCTTGGATCTCGCGAAGAAGAAGCTGTTAGATTGGGATCCAATGCGATTTTCTTCGCGTTCTAGCGATCGATCTTCAAGCTCTGGCGACGAATCGAGGTTAATCTCGTGAAATATTCCAGGCTCTCCAGTCCGGCACGATGATCCCGAGATCATGGGGATCTCGCCTCTCGATCTCGCTTCTCCTCATCAATTTGGCAGCGATTATGGAGAAAGCCGACGAATCGCTCCTGCCGGCCGTGTACAAGGAAGTAGCGCAGACATTCCATGCCACTCCATCGGAGCTAGGGGCTCTCACTTTCATCCGGGCCCTGGTCCAAGCGATATTCTCCCCGGCGGCAGGGATCTTGTCGATGCGCTACAATCGTCCGGCAGTGATTGGCCTGGGCACGATCTTTTGGGCATTCTCCACCGCCGCCGTGGCCTTCTCCCAGAATTTCTCCCAGTGCGCGTGGTCCAGGGCCGTCAATGGCATCGGTCTCGCCATCGTGATCCCCGCGACGCAGTCTTTTATCGCGGATAGCTACTTGGATGGTGGTAGAGGCGTCGCGTTTGGATGGCTCAATCTGGTGGGATCCTTGGGGGGGATTGGGGGAAGCATGGCCGCGACTATCATGGCCGGCTATGAGATTGCTGGAATGCCTGGATGGCGCTTCGCGTTTATCCTCATGGCTTTGCTCAGTGCTTTCATCGGGTGGCTGGTTCATCAGTTTGTCATCGATCCAAGAGGGGGATCAAGCCTTCCGTCTTCGATGCTGTAAGTTCTTTCGGTTCTTTCTCTGGTGTTCTAAGCTCTCTCTCTCTCTGTCTTTTTTTTTTTGTAGTCGGAGTGAGAAGGAGATGAAAGCTCTCCCAAACATTTGGAGGGACTCCTTCTCTGCGATCAACAACATCGTGAGGGTACGGACTTTTCAGCTGATAGTCTTGCAAGGACTTGTTGGATCATTTCCTTGGACAGCGATGGTGTTCTTCACAATGTGGTTCCAACTTATTGGCAAGCTTTCCTATCGATTTTTTCTCTCGTTTTCCTGACTCGTGGCTACCTCTTTCCCAGGCTTTGGACACAAAGGAGCAGCAATGCTAGTCGGACTCTTCTCCATGGGAAATGCCTTTGGCGCTCTCCTCGGTGGCTGGATCGGTGACCAGGCGGCTCGGAGATATCCAAACTCGGGCCGGATTATGTGTGCGCAGTTCAGCTCGTTCATGGGAATCCCATTCTCGTGGCTGCTGCTCCACGGACTCCCGCAAGAACCAGGTCTCTGGTACGCATTCGCAGTTACTCTCGTTTGCATGGGACTTATCATCAGCTGGAACCAAGCTTGTGCCAACAATCCCATGTTTGCAGACGTGGTTCCTCCCAAGCACAGAACGATGATTTACGCTTTCGACCGGGCCTTTGAGGGAGCTTTCTCGGCCATGGCCGCTCCTCTCGTGGGAATTCTGGCCGAGCAAGTCTATGGATACAGGCGAGGAGTGATTATCACGGAAGTTGGCTCCAGAGAGGAAGCCATTGCTCTATCCAGGGGACTGTTTGCGATGATGGCTATACCTTTCGGGATTTGCTGCCTCTCCTACACTCCCCTTTACAGGACTTACAAGCTCGACAGGCTCAGGCCGATGGGAGCTCAACACCAGAGTGATTCTTCTATAAACTTTTGATAAATTCATCCCTCACGTTTGGATTTAACAGGTGACTTTGAATCGAGTGAAAAGATGACTGATCAGGAAGGGTGATAACTTACTTGGTCGACGCAAAAGGATACAGCGTTGGCAAGCCAACTGTAAGATCCTTCTCTGTTACAGTAGTACTGTAATATGAATCATTTTAACACCGAAGCTTTCGTGTTCTTGCCGCCAATTTTTTCCCCGCGAGAATGGCGACGAGTTATGGCTGCGGATTCCAAGCGACTGCCGTCCTAAACAGGTATGCTCGACAAAACAAAATGCTGTCAACAGCTTCTTTTGTTTTTGTTAGCTAAGAGAAACTTGGAAGAAGCTCTCACTTAAGTTTTGTGTCTGGATGTTGTTCTCGTGAGAGCTTTGCTTTGGGGCGCAATGGCAGAGCAAGGAGAAGTTCACGAGAAATTAGAGGGTCATGACACTAAAGAGCACAAGATTTCCTTCCATGAAGAAGACCACCATGTCAAGAAAGAGTCTCTTCTCAATGGGGATCAAGCAGTAGCTGTGCCACTCAAGAAGCCTGTTCGCATCGCTACACTGGACGTTTTCCGTGGCCTCACAGTAGCGGTAAGTAGAGTTTTCAAGTTCTCTTCTTTATCCAATTCTAACTTCTGATGGTTTGGTTCTAGCTTATGGTGTTGGTGGATGATGCCGGTGGAGAGTGGCCAAGAATCAATCACTCGCCATGGAATGGATGCACGCTTGCTGATCTTGTGATGCCATTTTTTCTCTTCATTGTGGGTGTAGCTATCGCTCTTGCGTTAAAGGTAGACCTCTCAGACTGTGACCTTCAGATTTTAATCCCTTCTCCTTTGCGTGCAGAGAATCCCGGACCAGGTGGCAGCAACACAAAAGGTCGTGATAAGAACTCTCAAGCTTCTTTTCTGGGGACTGCTGCTTCAAGGTACTCACACATTTTACATGAGAGATTGTGAATCTTTTTCCTTGTTTCATTTGTAGGTGGCTTTTCTCACGCACCGGACGATCTAAGTTATGGAGTTGACATGAGGAAAATTCGGTGGTGTGGCATTCTTCAAGTGAGCTTTAGCTTTGTATTTCATTTCCTTTGGCTATAGATGTGTATTTTCCAGCGCATTGCCTTTGGCTACCTGATAGTTGCTCTGGTGGAGATCGCTACAACCAAGAGCCGGTCGTTGGAATTGCCAAAAGGACACTTTGGAATTTTCAAGCTCTACAAATGGCACTGGTAAGTTTTCTTAATCTCGTATAGATATCTCTACTGGCAACTTTGTATGGTATCAGGGCCTGCGCGTTGGCTGTTGTTATAATCTATCACTCGGTTGCCTATGGGCTCTACGTCCCTGACTGGCACTTCATAGATTCGGGTCATCGTTTTGTTGTAAGTCTGGCAAAGTTTGTTTTTTCTTCCCAAATAAATGTCCTCTTGTTCTCATTCGCCATCAGGTTCAATGTGGTGTTCGAGGAGATATTGGCCCCGCTTGCAATGCAGTTGGACATATCGATCGCACGATTCTTGGAATCAATCATCTCTACCAAAGTCCCGAGTGGACAAGAACTCAGGTACTTGAACATTCTATTCTTTTTAGAATCAACGGAAACTTTGGTGTTGTCTTCTCAGTCTTGTGATTTGGATTCACCGGCAGAAGGCGATCCTCCCGCTAATGCTCCAGCTTGGTGCAAAGCTCCATTTGAACCAGAAGGGATTTTAAGGTTCGAGATTTTCTTGCTGCTATATTTCTTGCTCACCATGTCTACGTCTATAGCTCAATCTCGGCAATTCTAAGCTGTATAATTGGGATCCATTATGGACACGTCCTCATACACTTCAAGGTACTCGTGCTAGCTTCGCAAAGTTTGCTAGTATATATTCTTTTCCTTCTTTCTCTGAAGGGACATATGAAGCGAGTTTTGCACTGGACGATCCCTGCAGCCGCGCTTCTCGTCCTTGCAACTATTCTCCACTTCACTCATGGTAACAATCTCTCTTTCTCAAGCCGAAGTTAAAGTTTTCTCGAATGGTGATCTCAGCGATTCCACTCAACAAGCAACTCTACAGCTTCAGCTACGTGTGCTTCACAGCTGGAGCTGCCGGAATGATTTTCTCGCTGCTCTACGTCGTGGTAACGAAAGATACTCCTTTGTTTCTTACTGCCACGAAATCCTCAGGTCTCTCTCTCTTTCTGAATGGCAGATTGATATCTTTGGCATCAACCAGCCGACTTTGATCTTCCAGTGGATGGGACTCAACGCAATGTTCGTGTTTGTGATGGCTGCCTCTGGAATCGCTGCCGCCTTCGTCAATGGCTGGTACTGGCACGATCCCAGCAACAATCTGGTATGAAGCAGTTCTTCGCTTGGTTTTCTCTCACTCACGAGAGCTCCAATGATGCTCAAATGTTTTGCTCGCAGGTAAACTGGATCAAGAAGCATGTTTTTGTAAACGTGTGGCATTCCCAGCGAGTTGGAACGCTGCTTTACGTTTTGATCGCAGAGATCCTGTTCTGGGGACTCGTCTCTGGCATTTTGCACTGGCGAGGTATCTATTGGAAACTCTGAAATGAAAATACTCCGCTTAAACTCGAGTCCAAAGTGATCAAGGTGACCATGGTTTCCGATAATCTGCCGTCTTGTGATCTTCGACGCCAATTTCCCAGTATGAGAGTCCATGATCCTTCGAAAGAGGCGGCCGAGATTCTGTTGATAGTGGGGCAGATTCTTGTCATGACTGTAATGGGCATTTGGCCTAGGTAGCGGGAGAATATACTATCACCGGAATCATGTGAAAATGGTTTCGTGGTCTAGTGGTGATGACACTGGACTCTGAATCCAGTAACCCGAGTTCGAATCTCGGCGAAACCTTGTCCTTGAGAAATCTTTGAGATCCTTCACGTAAATTTCTGAATTGCGTGGCTGCTCGCTCAACACCTCCGACACCTTCCAGTTTCCAAACTTGACGTCGATCGAGCAGAGCTTTTCAGCAGGGTTTTCCTGTGTTGTTGGACACGGGATTCGCAAAAATGTTTAACTCAGCATGGAATGTTTTGACTAGTCAGTGTGTAAAACGTTCTAGATGGGTTCAAATGGAGTAAATGACAGTCTCTGTTGTCTCGTGTAACGGTGTTGACTCAATTGAACGACTGTAATATGTTGGTTTTGGGGTGTCGATCATTTACGTATTTTTGTCTAATTTCTCACGCTGAGAGGAACATGGCAGCGGCTACGATCACAATCACTGCTTCTCTTCGTGTCTCAGATTCCACACAGACGGTTTCCATCACCGAAAGTGTACACTGGAGTGATATCAGCAACGCAGTCCGTCAATTCCCCAAATGTTCTTAGGCCTAGTAAGTTCAAGACTTGGAAAACTTTCTTCCTTTCCCTAGCCTTCGGTATAAATTCTAGGTGCGCTTGCCGGCATCGTCTCACAGTGATGTTTGTAGGGCCAAAATTCCGGACGGAGCGGAGTCTAGGGAGCTCAAGGTAGGATCTTACCTTGGAGTCGCTGCTACTTCTTTGAATCCTCCGAAGTTCATCACGAAGGTTGCTGTTTTATGTTTTTTTTTCCAGCGACGGGGAACTATCGGCGTCCCTCTTGTATTTCATATGCTTCTTTCGTTTTGTTCTTGTGGAAGATTCTAGTCTTTTCCATGTTGTGAGGGATGACTCATCAAACTCCTCGAGCGAAGGCTGCCACCGTCGACGTGCCCAGCGGTCGCATTTTCCAAGCCGGCAGTCGATGACATGAAGCACCTTCACCGTTTTTCCAGCTATACCAAAGAAAGAGCTGAAATGGTAACAAAGCCTAGCATTGCGGCTGAGGAAAGTCCCTCTCCTGTCCAAGGGTGAGCTTCCGAGACATAGATAGAGTCTTTCGATTCGTCGTAATGGACAAACCATGTGTTGATGTAGTTTGATAGAAAGCCGAATTTAAGCTTGTTCCTCTGCAAATACCCAGTAAGTTGACCAATGATGTGATAATACGGACCTCCTGACGGATGAGGATCTCGCTTCCCCAACTTTGTTGCACCCATTTCTGATGCAATTCCTCGTATGAGCTGACCTGAAGCGCATTCCATGTTTTCATCTCACCTGGAGACAATGGTTTCCATTTCCCATCTTGTAGCACGAAAGCTAGTAGATGATCCGGCATTCCTTGAAAACCTGGACTAGCAAGAGACTTGGAGGCTCTGAATGAGCTCCATTGCAATGGCAGAGCATATGCATGTTGTAAGATTATCGATGCCACTTCTAAAGCTTGACTAAGTGCACTCTGTAGGCATATTTCTTGGACAGCATGCACAGTGTGTTGATTGAAGGCAGGGATCCGAATTAAATAGTCTGGATCAAGAAGTAGCAACAAGTGTTTCTTCAGCTCATCAAATTCGGACCAGGGGCGCATTTTGGCTGGAAACCATTTCAGTGCTTTGTTTTTGTGCGTTGATCGATTCATTTGCGGAGCAATGTCGACGTGAGGCAATCGTCCTAGAACGATTTCTCTAATTGTCTTTTCCTCGGATCTTGGCCATCTCCGAAGAAGCGGAGACCAGTCCATTGAGTAGCAACACGGAAAAAAAGCCGAGAGCAGCGAGTCTAGTATCCAAGATCAATGGGTTCTTCGCATTGCTGCTAAACGAGCACTGGACTTGTGATGACAGCTCCTGGCATTTTTGGCGGCGCTAGATACATCATACCCCCAGAACGCATCCGATCACCGGCGTCACACGTCCCCTTTTCGGAGATTGCAACCAAATCCGAGCTGCTGCGTGTGCAAGATTGATCGATCCTACACGTCCGGCGGTTGCAACCTCAAATTCGAGCTTCGGCGTGTGCAAGATTGATCGATCACACTGGTTATTGGCTCTCAGGAACAAAGATCGCTCCTTTAGAGCAACCGGGCTGCCATGAGACACTATGCGTTGAAAGATCGCTACTTTAGCCCTGCCGCTGCTCCGGAAGAAGCCCCAGACCCGACATACGCTCACCGCGTTCTCGAGCTCCCGCTCAGCGAGCGCGACGATCCTCTGTAAGACCTCCGATCAGGATCCCGGAGGCCTTAAGGCGCTTCCTTGTGCTAGCTACAAGCTCGGGCAGGATCCCGGAGGCAAGGTGCTTCCTTGTGCTAGCTACAAGCACGGGCTTTCTTGCTGATCTGATCAAGCGAGCGCGAGCCAAGCAGATGCGGCTTTGCCATACATTGCATCAACGCAACGGAAAGAGACCGTACATTTCCACACCGCAGAGAGACACCCTTGTACCTTGTCAAAACAATGCGCGCCCGAGATGCCCCAAAAACCCGGTGAAGAAGAAGTGCCTGTTGGTTTAATCAGGGCCGTCTGATCCATGAGATCCGACGGCTGTGAGGCGGGTTAATTTCTTAAAGCATTTTGGGGCACAGATTCGAACCTTGTGATGTCTTAGACGAGAAAAAAGTTTTTTGAAAAGAAACCTAGGCAAATGGCAGAAGAAGTGCGATACAGGGTAAGCCGCTTAGCTGCGAGTAGAGCTCTGGAATTGCTTCATGTGCCCCAGAAAAGTGGTGTAAGGCGTGATGAAGATGGCCCCTTCCTACATGCTAGGGATCTCCTTGGTTGCCCGTTTGTGCGGCCGCTTATTAGCAGCAACGTTTCAGTGGGACGAAGTATTGCCACTGCTGATTGGGGAGTAGGGCGGGAGCTATTCCCAACCAAGCTTTATGTATGGAATAACATCCATGAGCTGGTCGATCGCTTTGTTGCAAGAGAGATCGATGAAACAGAGGAAGTCTTTTTTGTGCCTGAGCGGCATCGACAAGCTTATCCTGTGGATTCTCTAGCTGCGATGGCAGTTATCGGCAGCCGACTCTTCGAGCGGCTGCCACAGGTCTTTACAGGGCGCTTGGTTCCCGAGCTTAGCATCATGTTGGCAGGCAACAATCGAAGTGTAAGACCCTGGGGTTGTTTGGTAGGAGTAATTCATTTGGAGCTTGAGGGGCTGGGTGTGCAAGACATTGCTGCGAATTTAGAACGTGGTTCTCGCTTCAGAGAAGCTATGGAGAGGGTTTATTGTTACTGTGAGCAGTGGAAGACAGACTATGCGGTGATTATTGGTGCACGCCATCTGTGGTTTTGTGTCAGGCGTGGCTACAATGGCTTTGCTATAGCTGAACCGATGAAGATCTCTGAGGTGCCAATGAAATACTTTTGGTATCTCATCTTCTCCGGTGTAGCCGATGCCACCGATGCCACCGAGTCACAGCATGATCCATACATTTGTGAGGAGCTCCCGATGCTACGTGTGATACTGCCCAAGGATTTCAACAAGCTTGTCAAGCGCAACATGAAGAACCTAGCAAGCGAGTTGGCATACATCTCCACAGCAAAGGTGCATAAGAAGCTTAAGTTTTGGAGGTTTGAGGAGTTTTACAGGGAGTTCCAGCAGGGAATGGTGTTGTCTTCGAAAGTGGCAAGGGCAGTGTACAGAGGATCTGAGAAAGTGGTGGTGAAGATGGTGGACATGTCTCAACCGGATTCAAAGGTTGGTGCTGCCATGCTGTTTGTCCGGGAGATTCTCATGTATTCTAGGCTCAAAGCCATGCAAGGTCGTGGAGTTCCCAAGCTCTTAGAGTATGGCGTCCTCAATGGGGATATGTTCTCAGTGATTGTCATGTCTGATGAAGGTGATAGTACTCTTCCTTGCCGAACATATCCCCAACTCAAAGAGCCTGCCACAAGAGTGTTGCGCGAGATTTACCAGTGTGGTGCTTATCATGGGACTTTTGAGGTTTCAGATGTTGTGGTCTCTGTGGACCGTGATCTACCACCCAAAGTTAGCATTGTGGGCTTCTCCTTGGGTGGCATTGTCTCAATTGAGCATAATCCTTGGAGGGATGAGCTGAGTTGTGTCATGTCAGCTATTGGAATCATGGAGGAGTCATCATTGGAAGAAGATGGCACCGAGGATGAGGAGAATGAAGATTACTACTCTAGCATGGAAAGCCCCTAGGTAGTTTTGCACGCTCATTTTCATTTCAAGAGTTGAATTTCCTTGTTGGTTTTAATGCTTCTTTTCATTTCAAGGGAACCAAAAGCGAGACTTCTAAAGTCTAGCTAGCCTCCCTTGACTTTTTGATCTTGATCTTGCCTTAAGGACAATAGTGGGAACGATTTCCTCCACCTTAAGTCAAAGGACGCTAGCTAGAGTAGGCCAAAGATTGTAAGAACTCTTCAGGCCTGTTCTCTTGCCTGGACGGTTCTTGTTCACCTTCCTCTCCTCGACCTTCCCTGTCGGTTCTGGGAACCTCATGACCTTGCGGGTCTCAAACCTGACCAGCATTCTCGTTGCTTTGAATCTTGAGAATCTTGTTGTAGATGTGGACGTCTCCACGGTACTGGAAGAAATAAAAATGCCTCAGAGAAGAGTAAATTTACTCACGAAAGAATCACAATGATAGAAGAACTGAACCAGGAAGGAATAACATTTTCTACATCCACTCGAAGTGGGTGCTTGGTGGTGGCCGGCGTCCGAGTAGGCCGAAACCAAAGCTGTCCACGAGCACACGTCTTTGTGAGGTATCTCGTAGAAAAGCTCGCGAGCGGTCTCAAGCTTC